TTTTAAATCGCCGATGTTATCTAGTTGGGTTTTAGGGGAAAGTGTCGATGACTGTGGCGGAGGATACAGCGAGTCGATTGCTGAAATGTGCGACGAATTGCAGAACGGTTCCTTACCGCTGCTAATACCCACTCCCAATGGCCGAGAAGAGGCGGGAGCAAATAGGGACTGCTTCGTTTTCAACCCTACATCAAAAACCTGTTTGCACTTGAATATGTTTAGGTTATTGATCTAAGCGGGGTTCAACTAGCCGATGCTTTATACGGGCATGTTTTAGGTTCCTAGGCGTTTTAATGGGGATCGCCATCCGGACTGGATCGCCGCTGAGTCTAAGCTTGGCTGAGCCAGTCTGGAAGCAGTTAGCTGGAATGGATTTGACGCCAGCAGATTTAACTGAAATCGATCGGTATGACTCAGGCTTATTATTAGTATTATTCCGCAAATCTTCATACGGTTGTTGCAGCGACTACGTTCCCGGGTTGCTCTGTATCAGAGATGCCGGCCCCGATGAGCCACTCTTTCAAAATCTTGAGATGCCGTTCAGTACGCCGTCTTCGTGTGGTGTTGACGTACCGTTGAGTACCAAATACAAGCGAATCACTTTTGAAAATCGGCTGGAATACGTCAGGCTTGCTTTGAATTTCCGGTAAGTTGGGTGTTTTCGACCTTTGCAGCATTCCAGGGCGTGTGTTGCAGGATTCATGAGTTCGATGAGCAGGTGAAAGCAGTGCGAGATGGAATGTCCAAAGTGGTGCCTGTGCCTTTGCTGAGCCTGTTTAGCGGCTACGAGTTGGAGACGATGGTGTGCGGCTCACCAGATATACCGCTGACCTTGCTGAAATCCGTCGCTACTTATAAAGGTTCAGACTCTTTACTTCGCCATTGAGGGAGGTTTTGTTACGGGGTTTGATGTAGGCATGGACAGCACAGCTCCATTGGCGCAATGGTTCTGGGAAGTAATGGAGGATTTTACCAATCAGGAGCGATCGCTTTTCCTGCGTTTCGTTTGGGGCAGAACTCGCCTGCCGAGGACCATTGCTGACTTTCGAGGCAGGGATTTTGTCATTCAAATTATAGAGAAGTACAACCCGCCCGACCACTTTTTGCCTGAAAGTTACACGTGCTTTTTTCTATTGAAAATACCCAAATACTCGTGCAAGGTAAGAGAGTTGATGACAGCGGCTCGAATCCCTGTTACCTGCTGAATGTATTTTCTAGCATGTTCTGCAGCAAAAGCTGAAGTACGCAATACACTTTTGTAAATCGATCGACAAAGATGAATACGCCAGAGTAGCGATAGCGGGCGATTTGGCTGTGAGTTCGAGTTCCGATGTAGAAAGCGACCCCGAAATGGACAGTAGTACCTAGTCATCTTGCATAATCGACAATGCCCGTCCAAATCCATCAATTTACGACTTGATTTGATGATTGATTGTTTCAGAAGAACCGCACAGCTCTGGCAGATAGGTTTAATAGTCGGTTAGAATGCTACCATTATATTAATGTCGTCAAATAAAAAACGCACTCAGTTTGCCAATTATATGGTAGTTGTCGTAAGACGCGTTCTCGTTTAAGTAAGGGCTTGGTTCTGTGCAAAATCAGTAGATCGCTTGCTAAGAATAAACTGTCCGCAACACTTAAAAAAATATGCGAACCCGTTTATTTAGTCAATGCTTTACTTTAGGGGAACAAAACGCCAATTTTAAACTCGCATTTTTGAATTGAACCCAACGTGCAACATTCCTTTTTATTTTTTTCTATGAGGGAAATTAATGTTGTTTTATATTAAGTTGTTAAGTATTTTTGAAAGAATTGTTCTTGGTATGTATTGATGTATCTAGTCATCATGTTAGTGCACTATAAACTCTTCATTAATTACGATGCCGTTATTTTATTGCTTTCTTGTTTAGTGGTCAAATATGTACTACGAGTAGGAAGAACTTTGGGGAATTTTGCTGCAATAAACCGCTTTTTGAAAACCTGGTTTTAAAAGGCAGCTGGTTCTGACAAAATGATGGATGAACTAAGAGACCTAGGCAAAATAACACTAGAGCGGGGACAAAATGGCGAATGAACGGTTAAGTAGTAGTTTGATAGCAAAGAAAGCTGTCTTGAACCATATCCAAACTTACCGTAGCAGATATTTATTGGTCACAATAGATCTCTAATTAACACAACACATAGGGATCTTTTGCACAAAATAAATGTTTTCACCGTAATCTTTCCGATAAAATTCACTTTATTTATTTGAAACAAGAGCGGCTATTCGTAACGAGAGTTTCTTGTCATTTTGGGTGAATCCGCTATTTAATTATCACTGACTTTTACAATACAGTTTTTCTCAGTTCATTCGCCATTTAGTCCACACTAGATTTTAAATTTGCAATTCAAAATGCAATGTACTTTTTTTATCATCGACTCTTTCATTCATTCGTGATTTTGTCCATACTGTCAGCGTCAATGCAGTTTTTTTTTCTACCGACCTTATCTCTTCCTCCACTATTTTGTCAATTCTGGCAATTTCAATGCAGATTTTAGTGTTTAATCTTTTAAATTTTTATTCACCATTTTATATAGACACGATTCAAAAACTTCGTCTTCTCTTTTTTGGGTCGAATTACTTGCAGTGGTCATTAATTGAATAACTTCACTGCTGTTTTTCTGTCACCTTTTGACTTTGACAATAACGATAAAAAATCAGATTTTGTGAAAAATTTTGAAGAAGCCTGTTTTTTGCTATTAATTATTCGTGAGTAGATGTTCAAAAGGCGAATCATTCAATTGATTGTTGCCTTAGAAATCCCAGTTTGAAAACATATCAATCGAGTCACTATAAAGCACAAGTTTACTGCAATATTGCAAGTGAAAGGGAAACTTTGCAAAGCTGGATCTATTGCTGTACTTTTTAAAAAAATATGACCAACTTGCAGATAGAAAACCTAGTCAACTCTAGCAGGTGAGTTCAAACGATTTCATTTGCCCTAAGAGCGTGCCTTAAATAAATCTGATCGGATTATCTTGATTTTGACCTTGCTTAATGTATTCGTTTTAGTTAAACCAATGTTATACAATTAGAACACGCAAATTAAATTAATGCGATTGGCACGATTAAGGCTGCAATGATTTCGTCTTCCCTAACTGAACAGGTGCTTTTCATTGCAGATTCCCAGATAAAGGCAAGAGCATCCTTCTGGCTCTCTTATACTTACCAGTGGGCCTACTGCTGCTTTTGCTAAGATGCATGTTAGTCTTCATCTTTTTCATTCTGGGACAGGTACGTGCTAGTGAGCCCTGCTCTTTCTTCATTTTAATCTTACTAAAATGTATGTAGATCCTTCCAAACACACCGCCAATTCATTCTTTCCTGAGCAATTTTGCATGCCTGTGTTTTGGCATTATAGTATCTGTTGAAAACCGGAAAACGAAGGAGAATGTTGAAGTTTTCGTCAGCAATAGCTTGTCGATTTTTGATCATGTGGCCATCAGTAAAGCTATTGGAACCGTCTTGGTAATTGCGATTATATGGACTCGAATGCTGGATAACGTGTGTTTTGTAGCCGCTGAATAAAACGCCTCTGCAAAGTCTGCCCGCTTATGGGACTACTGATTTCGGTTCGATAAACAACACAGAGACGTTCAAACGGAAGCTGGAAGCAGTGACTAAGGACAGAAAAACACCCATCCTGGTTTGCCCTGGTAACTAAACATGTGAAGAATGAATAAATGCTGATAATCCTAACCGTTTTTAGAGGAGTCCACCACCAATGGCAACGCCCTCTTGAAATTCAACTCAAAGTACTTCAAGTTTTTCCAAAAAGTCCAGCCCCTGTGCATCACGATTAAAAGGCCAGTGGTCAACATTGCCATTTCCACTCTGGGTTCGACCTACATGAACGATATCATTTACTTCATGTTCTCCCCGTTTACTAACTACAGCATCAAATTCCTGCCTTCAATGGACAAGAAGAGTCTTTCAGAGGACGAGTTCGCTGATGTGGTTCGCCAGAATATAGCTGCAGAACTGAAGGTGCATTTTCCCGATTGAATTCACCCGAAATAAAAAATTGCCGTTGGTTTTCAGATTGAAGCTACACAGTTTAGCTCATCAGAGGTTGCAGAATGGTCCAAGCGACGTCTGGATGAGGAAAGGCGACGCAATCAAGAGCAGACCAATGGTCGCTCGTCATTGACTCGCTTTGCCAATCCCCAAGTCTTGAGGATGGTGTCCCAAGTCAAGGAAGTGCTACCGCATGTGCCAATCCAGGCCATCTATAACGATTTGGGTGCGTTCCCTTTGCAATGAGGTCTTTTCGCGATAATACACGGGCTTTTTTGTCGACAGCTGTGACTAGAAGTGTGGACACAACAATCACAAACATTCTCGAAGGGCGCGTGCGGTTCACGCCTGAAGCGAGCCGATCAGCTGCAGCTGTGCCGTCGACATCCAGTCAGCCGTCCACCTCTCCAAACAAGAGCACGATTGCTACCGGAGTGGCTGCAGCGCCTTTTTCGCATCTGCACATGGCAGCATCGACATTCGGTAAAAATGCTTCGGAACGTACGCGATCGTTCCAGGAGCGCAAAGAGCAGCTGATTGCTGCTGCCAGACGTCGGTATATCGAGAAACACAATCTGGAACTACCGCTGTAGCGGCGCCCCAGTTTAAAGCGAAACTCGCTACTCTGTTTAACATCTAGAAAAGTATACATATTTTTTTCAAATTGCTTGCTTTGTCCACCGGTTGGGTCAAATTTTTCAGTTTAAGCGTATTTACTGGGTTGTTAAAAACATGTTTATTGACTAAGTTTTTTTGGGGCGAGATTCAACCAAGTGAGTCTTCTTCTACTATAGGCAAAAAATCTCCTGCTTCATCTTGTTCAGTTTAGCAAGTATGAACATGTAGACTAGACGTTCATTTATCTACTGTCAATGTTCGCCACACCTACTGAGGAAAGCTGCGTTCATCAAGGTTTTTTAATGGGGAGTTATATAGACACCCTGTACAAGTGCCAAGTGCGGCGATATTTGCAATAACCGAGTTTTTGAGTGTTTTAAAAAATTTGGCTGTAATTGCGTGACAAATGGAGTTAAATTGTGCGAAAACGTTTTAGCCATCAGGGTTTTAACCGATGTTTTAAAACAGTTGCTAACACATGTTAACAGTGCAATGGTTTTGGTGGAAATATTGTTACAGTTCGTTTCAGTTAATTAAGTTACATGAGCATACACGCGTCCGGACTAGAAATTTAAAATTGAAAATTTCTATGTATAGACTATAATATATGTATAATTAAAAAGTTCGTATGAAACCTATTCTTTGTCTTTTTCTGCTGGGGCGACTGAACCAGAGATTAGTAGATAATGATATGATATGTATAATCTGAACACCTGAATTTTGGTATCCAATCTGCTCTGCGCCGTTTAATTGTTTTGAGTACGCGGACGGATGTATGTATTAAATATCGTAAAAGTTACTTTATTATATTATTATTATTATTTTTATCTGCAAGTTACTTTTACAAGATGAAAACATTTTACAATGTTGGTGAAAATGTTGGTCATGGGGTCAACTTCTTTTGAGACCTCTGGACTGAGACTGGGTAATTTACAAAAAGAAATACGTGATCTAGTCGAATTAGTAAACAGAGTGAATCGTGCTGGTGATGCGAAAGATAAAACAGAAGTTGAAGAATGGGTGTTAAACAAAATTCCTTTCTGTGGTTTTTTATGTAAATATTTAGTGAACAAAAATTAAGGTAAAAAGCCCAAAAATTACGAAATTTTAGTTGGCAAAAATCAAAACCACAGAAAGTCCGTTATCATAATATTGCCGCCTAAGCAATCCTGCAATCGCCACATCACCAATAGTTTTGATGTGATGAAAGTTAAATTAGCGTTTCAATTATTGAACAACCAAATTAATTGTGGCAAGCTTCAGCTGATTTTCTCGAAAATCTTAATGCGGTCATATGCGGCTGTAATGCGTATTATT